TCGCAACTTGTTATCTTAATTGTGTATACAGTCATAAACACACTTCAATTCGTGTCATTACGTATACTTAAAGCGATATTTTGATTACATGAATTTGAAAATACTGAATTTTCTCCCATACGTGGACACAAAAGTACATCAAAATTCTTGTTTTTCTACCAAACGGATGCCCCGGTAGTCGTCGCGCAGCGCGTGATATCGAACAGGACGCTGCGTGACGACTGCCGCCTTTTAAATATGTCTCAATAATCCAGCGTGTATTCACTCACTACACGAACTTGTTTACAAGCTGTTTACGCATTTTGGTCTGATATGTACACAAGCGGTTTGACCTCGTTGTCATATCGTCTTTGGTCGTCAAGTAATTAGATACGTTAGCGTCGCTCATTGGCAGATGAGGCTTATGTTTAAATTCTAATCAATAGTGAAATCCAACGCTACTAACCATATCATCTCCACGCATGGAGTCAAAATAACCTTGTTTATCTTCCCGGTCCTACCTGATTGTCTAGTAGATAATTGTGGCGCATACTATCTGCCTTGCGGAGCACGTACAGCGTATATCCCCCCACCAGTTTTAAAGGAACTCGTTCACAAACGTTCAGCGCCACGCAGCAAAATACGAAACGGGAAACGAAATTCTCAATTAATCCCTAGTAAATTTACCTGGACGTAGTGCGTCTGGATCCGGGCATCAAAGTTGGCTTGTACACATGGAGAATGGTGTGATGTCTGCTATCACGAATTACTGATATACCGAAGTCATGTGATCATATAAGTTGTTGAATTTAATAGACAAGCTAGTTAAAATTTGATATCTTTTACTATATATGTCAATACCGATCATAAATGATTCTCTTGTCATGTGCAGTGGGACAACATAATAAAGATATAGGGAGTTATTCCACCGGTCTTATACGGAGGGGAATTTTAGCGAACAACCGGCCTCATAATTAGGGGGGGGGGTAAAAGTAAATAAAAATGACAAACACACACACAGGGAAAAAATAAATAAGAACAATGGAGAATAAAATAATTTTTGAGACAAAAAATATCGCATGTCCAGTTCACTAAATAAAAAACAAACAATCTCCTTGACCACGTGTTTAAGAATGGGAGATCTGAGCAGTGATAACATAATTATAAATTTAGTTTTAGTCTTGTGTTTACGTACTCAGCGTTCAATTGCTTGAACATATTTGCAGCATGGCATTATTTGCCCATAAATAAAACAGTTAGAAACAGGTATATTTGGCAGTCCGGAGAATATGTTCTCACATTGACATTCATTACATCCTTAATATCACTACACAAATACTGAATAAAAAACAATGGAGCATGACAAAAATAGTAATTTTAGGTAATTGTCACAATCACTAAATAAATTAGTTGTTATACATTCAGGCAGTAATATATCAACTGTTTAAGCAGCTGTCATAAAAAACAGCTAAGATCGAAGAATAACAAAAAAATATATATTTATGCTTCTAAAAATAAAAGATTACTTGTTGTTGTAGTTGCACAACATGTATAACAATAGACAGGCCTGTATCGTAAATAATATATATATGTGTAAAATAAAAATATTGCGTAGAAAATATAAATACAACTGAGGTAATTGGACATAGCATTCTGATCAAAATCAGACAAGCCCCCCCCCCTCTGTATATGAGGGCATTTAAACAAATACGCGAGTTTTACTCATCAGTAAGGACGACATACATACATGTAATATCTGTAGGTTTTGCTCTATGTGTACATGTAATCTCTGTAGGTGTTACTCTATGTGTACATGTAATCTCTGTAGGTGTTACTCAATGTGTACATGTAATCTCTGTAGGTGTTGCTCTATGTGTACATGTAATCTCTGTAGGTGTTGCTCTATGTGTACATGTAATCTCTGTAGGTGTTACTCTATGTGTACATGTAATATCTGTAGGTGTTACTCAATGTGTACATGTAATCTCTGTAGGTGTTGCTCTATGTGTACATGTAATCTCTGTAGGTGTTGCTCTATGTGTACATGTAATCTCTGTAGGTGTTACTCTATGTGTACATGTAATATCTGTAGGTATTACTCTATGTGTACATGTAATCTCTGTAGGTGTTGCTCTATGTGTACATGTAATCTCTGTAGGTGTTACTCTATGTGTACATGTAATATCTGTAGGTATTACTCTATGTGTACATGTAATCTCTGTAGGTGTTACTCTATGTGTACATGTAATCTCTGTAGGTGTTACTCTATGTGTACATGTAATCTCTGTAGGTGTCACTCGCGGTACATATAATCAATATAGGTGCCTCGGTACACGTAATATCTGTAGGTTTATACTGTGTAGGTTCAACACTCTCTATACATGTAATACTAAATGTATTGTTTTATCATCAATATCCCTTATAGAATAATGTGACTCAAATTGTAGTTCCCAAATAATAGTACAGCGTTAACAATATAGCTAATAGCAACGAACATATTATTACGAATGTATCTATTACAGATTCTTGTCACTCTGTGAGGGGGTTGATTTATACTGCGAATGAAAATAACATGAAATCAGTTTATCTATTGGTTGACCCCTGAGGACAGAATGATACAGTTAGGACGCTACATGCAATGAGGACGCTCTGATTCATTGAAGACGCGCTGCTACGTTGTGAGAGCATTTGAAATTTGTGACGTCAGGAGGCAACCATTTTATTCATGGAAAGAGCTCGAGGAGTCCGACCAGTGCAATTTTGTTCGTGGTATACGTTTTTTAATGTGCTAACACCCCCCTTTCTTGTATGAACACGTTGTATGAATTTTTATTTCTTTTTTATGTTTGGCGTGTAGCCGCGGATTGACTTTCATAGTTATTGTATAAGGGCAATGCGCTGCTTTTTGAGCCCCATTTTTACGGACTTGTCAATCCTTTTGATCCCCCATTTTCGGCAGTTTTAGCAATACTTATGCCATTTTTTAACTGTCAATTTTTCAAAGTAAAAATCCATGTACGAGTAAGTACCCTTCCCCGGGAATGTCTAGCTTCTG